ATGCCGGCCGGTTAAGGCCCTGAAGCTCGGGTCCTCGTGGAAAATGTTCCTTCCACATGACACACCTCGCACTGGCTCCCACAGGGCAGTCAGAGGACGAGCTGCGGGTTACTGTGAGACCCAGCGTTGCCTTAGCTCGGGAAGCAGCATCAGGCCTGTAATGATTTCTCCACGACTCGCCTGCACCAGGCCCCACAGGGCAGTCAGAGGACGAGCTGCGGGTTACTGTGGGAGACCCAGCGTTGCCTTAGCTCGGGAAGCAGCATCGGGCCTGTAATGATTTCTCCACGACTCGCGTGCACCAGGCAAAGCAGAGGAAGGAGGACGGTGTGGGGCCGGTGTTGCCTCGGGCCTCTGGTCACTACGGCAGGCTGGATGCCCCTCCTCGGCCCCTGCGTGGGGATCGCCCCCAGCTCCTGGCCTGCTCCGCGGTGTGGAAGGTGAGGACACATTGTGAAGAACATACACTTTCTATGTCCTCTACACGATGCGGCTGCTTCCCCAGGAGATCCCGGCCACTCGGCGGCCGATGCGTCGGAGGACACGTCCGCGTGGTCACTGCTCTGCCGGGGCCGTTGCGTTTCTAAGGGCTGCTTAGCATGCCCTCCTCGCTCGCACTCCTGGAACCCGGTCCGTCCCCTGAGAAGGGCACCTGCGGCTGCTTCAGACCCCGTTGGCCCAGCCACAGCTGCCTCCCATGGGGCACCCTCCACGCAGCCGGCCGGCGTGGCTCAGTGGTTGAGTATTGACCTAGAACCAGGAGGTCACGGTTTGATTCCCAGTCAGGGCACATGCCCATGTTGGGGGCTGGATCCCCAGTGGGGGACGTGCAGGCGGCAGCCAATCCATGATTCTGCAGAGGAAAGAGAACAGTCAGTAAAGCGGCTCCTGGCCCCGAGGCCTGGCCCTGGGCCTCCTACTCTCCAGGGGAGAACAGGCAGGAGCCATGGGCCTCCATGCCTGGGAGACGGGGTGGGGGCCTTCGCCTCTGATCTTGGCAGCAGCCCCCAGGACTTGGAGAAGGGCCCGAGGACAGCCCTGCCCCGATTCCCTCCCAGCCCGATCCCCTCCCCGCTGCCGGCCCTTCCCTTCACCAATGTGTCCTGTGTCATCATGTATCTGATCTTGGCAGCAGCCCCCAGGACTTGGAGAAGGGCCCAAGGACAGCCTGCCCCAGGGGACCAGCCCTCCCAGCCCGATCCCCTCCCCGCTGCCAGCCCTTCCCTTCACCAATGTGTCCTGTGTCATCATGTGGACGCGCTTCAGCCCTGTGTAAACGGGGTGAGTATGGGGTGCACTTTTTCTGCTTCGTCAGACAGAGAGCCCTCCTCTTTCAAAGACTCCCGTGCACTCGTCACATCACATACTGATGACATTTACGTTCAGTTTCTTCACAGGAGAATCCACTCGTTCTTCTTAAGGCCTGGCTTCCGTGTTGGCCGGGCACTGGACACCCCTTCCCAGCTCAGCGTCGTGCTCACGCTGGACACGCCTCCCGCTGGGTGTGCTGAGAGGGTCTGGGTTGGGCTGTTGCGAACACGCAGTCTCTAAAAATTACGTGAAACACCCGTTGCTTTTCCTTCCTGAGGCCAAAGAGCTCCCGGGCTCCCTGATGCTTTTTTGTGGTGCGCAATTGCCTCAGGACGGGAGGAGATGAGTCTGGAAATTGTCCCTATAAAAAGGGAAAATGACCCAGAAAGGGCACGTGATGTGTGCAAATCGAAAGGGTAATGGGCATTTCAGGGCTCCCTGGGGCCTCGGGTGTCTGCAATGGTGGCGCTGTCCAGGGTGCTGAGCAAGCCCAGGCCAGACAGCGGACAGCTCACTGCCAGTGGTCCCGTAGCCTGTTACTCAGTTACTGGACGCCATCGGCTAAGCACCGAATCTCCTTTCTGAGCGGAATAAGGACTCACTAACTGGAAAATCCACGAGGTTTTCTACCACAGAGCATTTTACAGTGGAAGCCGGTGACCACAAAGGCACAGCCCAAGGCCATGGGCAGGTGCCCTCACCCCGGGCTGCTGGGCGTCTGCTCCCTACCGCCTCCCGCGGGGCTGCTCCGTGCTCTCTTAGGAGATGGTCTGAATCTGTGCCTTTGCCTCGGCTTGTCCGCACGTATTCATGGCAGGGAGAGCCTCACTCGATACCCCTGCTGGAGGCCCTGAGGGGCGTCAGAGTGCGTCACACACCACACAGGCCTCCGGGCTTTGTCCTGCGACCTGACGCCGTGTGGCCGCTGTCTCCAGCCCCAGCCCTCTGTACCGCTGGACCTTAGGCCAACATTCCTGAATAAAACACCGGAGGGAGCCCTGAAAGAACTAAGTCTTGTACCTCCAAGGGAGAGAAAGAGGAGGAGCGAAGAGAGGAAGGCGAGGTCATCATGTCTCGGGGGGAGTATGGGAGCCGCCGGGCTGGGCACCATCCGTTCTGGGCAGGACGATGGGAAAGCCACGCTGCACAGGCCAGGCTGGTAGCAGTTCCCTGAACGAGCCACTGACTGTCACCGACGGGCTTTTAATCTGCAGCACATAAGTTCACTATGAAAACAGTGAATCAGTTGCAGAGACCTCTCCAACCCAGCCCAAGTGTTAGTTTCTGAGAGTATTGTTTTGTGGCATCTTTACTAAAGGCGAAATCGGTTTTTCCATTAACATTCCCTAGCAGTTTCTATTCTTCTTATGCATCGCCCGGGACTGTGTGACGGAGCTGCCCTGCCCCCACCAGTACCTCCTGCGACACCCACAGCCCTCGCCCATCAAAGGTGGACCAGGGGCAGTTGCGGAACATGCAAATGTCATAGAGGCCACTAGGGGGCGGTGAAGAGCAGACGGGTTTCTTTGCCAGCATTATTTCTCAGAGCTGTTTCACCAAATATTTTAAAGATTTTTCTTTTTGACAATCAGTTTGAGGCAGCTCTGCCTCTGTATCTATTATTGTTCAAAAGTTTGTAATGGGGGGTAAGGGAGGGCAGGGGATTGTCAAGGGCGGGGGGGAAAAACACCACATATGTAATACCCTTTGTAATACTTTTAGCAAAAAAAAAACAAATAAAAAAAAATTTTCTTTTTTAAGTAAGAAGGGGGAAGAGGAGGAGAGAGAAAACTGCAAGAGGGAGAGAGAGGTGGGGAGACGGGAGCAGCAGACATGGGGAAGGAGTGGGAGAGACCTGATTCCCCACCAGGGCACATGCCCGGTTGTGGACTCTGTCCCCAGTCAGGGGCCTGCAGGGGGCAGCCGATCCATGATGTCTCTCTCTCGTCAATGTTCCTATCTCTTCCTTTCCCTTCCTCTCTATCTCAAATTAATGAAAACATATCTTAAAAGGTATTAAAAATAAGAAGGGGAAAGGAGGAGAGAGAAAACTGAAAGAGGGATTAAGAGGAGGGGAGAGGTGGAGGGAGCAGAGATGGGGAAGGGATGGGACAGACCTGTCAAGAACAGTAATGTGGTTGCAAAGCCAGCTACGGTGTCGGATGCATATCTGAGGCCCGTGAGGCCAGGCGTGCGCGTGTGATTACTGTTTGTTTCACTGTCTCTGTGTGATCCGAGTCAGAAAGTGTTATTGATTCTCTCCTGAGGTTTGGGTCAGGGGGTTCTCTGTCCTTTGGTTTAAAGTCAGTTGTTTATGTCCCTTCTTCCCAGGTTCACCACACACACACACACACACTTATACATTCATACACACACAGACTCACATGCACACACATGTTCCGTAACACGTCACTAAATCATCAGGCCACAGGGCCCTCGTTCTCAAGAAAGTAGCTCATTTTACATATTTATATTTTTAATAAAATTTAAATCTATATACATATTTTATTGACTTCAGAGAGGAAGAGAGAGATATAAACATCAACAATGAGAGAGAATCATCCAGCAGCTGCCTCCTACAGGCCCCACACTGGGGATGGAGCCACAACCCAGGCATGTGTCCTGACCGGGAATGGAACCGTGACCTCCTGGTTCCTAGGTCGAGGCTCAACCACTGAGCTATGCCGGCCGGGCTCTCGCTCCCATTTTTGTCAACACCAAGCTCAGGGCTTGTCCAGTGGGAGGCACATGTGGAAGGTCCCCCTGTGGCCATGGCTTGTCCAGCAGGGAGGGACCCACTCACCGCCCACAGACCCAGCTGGAAGCCGCCTGCGGCCTCGCCCAGGGGCTGCCGCTCGGCAGCCAGAGCCGATGTGGGTCTCACTCGAGGCCGATGGGCTTCTTTCCACAGCAGACGATGCTCTCCCGCGAGGCGTGATTGTGAGACACGGCGTCACTGGCCTTCCTCTGAACGTAACTAATGTTTATGACAACAACACAGACTCCTTCCTGGGAAATTCCCCTTTATTTGGAGCAAGTGTTTTCTTATAAATTTTACTACAATCAAGACACTTAACAGGAGATTTATCTTCTTAAAGATTTTGAGGTGTTGACAGTCGGGGCAAGGTGTACAGCGGGTCTGTGGAACGGACTCACCTTGAACCTCGTGCCTGCTCTTTAATAACCACCATCCTCCTCCTCCCCCCACCCCCCGGCCCACACCACCGCGCCAGCCTCTGGTTCTGTGAAGCCGGCTCTTCCCCAGACCTCATGGGACCAGAGCTAGCGGCTCTGCCTTTCTTGTGCTGAGACTTTCTCGTGACCTGGACCTCTTCCGTGTGTTTCTGTGAGACAGTTGTTCACAGGGGATGACATCCACCTGGGTTTTGTCTTCGGGATGCACCGTTCACCCCCATTTCCCCTTCAGCACCACCCTGGCCGCGTCCCTCATTCCCTGTGTGTCCCGGAGGAGGGGGGAAGCTCTCCAGCGACGAAGCCAGCAGGCGGACTTTGAGCCCCATGGCATCTCCTGCTGTGCTCTCTGCTACAGGACAGGGCGCATCTGGGCAGAGCCCTGCTGGTTGCTCAGGGCCAACGTTGGTCTGACAGCACGAGGCAGCAGGGCTGGGCGGCATCTGCTAAGACGTCTTCCCTGGGTAACGGGCTGTTTTCTGTTCTGTGCTGCGCAGGGTCGGCGCGAACGTCCAGTTCTCCTGTGAGGACAACTACGTGCTGCAGGGCTCCAAGAGCATCACCTGCCAGCGGGTCACCGAGACGCTGGCCGCCTGGAGCGACCACCGGCCCATCTGCCGAGGTGAGCTGGGCAGCGGGCGGCACCGGGACCCCCTCTCTTTAGGGTTCCCGTGTTTTTCTGAATCCACCATGAGATCCAGCACAGAGCCTATGCGGCGACAGAGCTGAATTTGATGGTGTATCTGTTCCCAGGGACGTGGGTAACAGAAATATTTCCTTGACACTCGTTAGGAGGCAGACATTCCCAAGGACGTGTGTGGTTTAAAAATTCAGCCCCGCTGGTGTGCTCAGTGGTTACCTATCGACCCATGAACCAGGAGGTCACGGTTCAATTCCCGGTCAGGGCACAGGCCCGGGTTGTGGGCTCCATCCCCAGTGTGGGGCGTGCAGGAGGCAGCCGATCCATGATTCTCTCTCCTCATTGAGGTTTGTATCTCTCTCTCCCTCTCTCTCCCTCTCCCTCTCTGAAATCATTTTTAAAAATCATTTAAAAGTTCAGAAAAGAAACGAGCAAATGGAGTCATTGAAACACACACGCACATATGCAGTGTCAGTGGGCCTTCCGCGAGCTGACTGTATTTATATGCCCAGGTTGCACATGTATGAACTGTTTACATAACCGGACCCCTGCTGATGTGGAAGGGATCGCCTTCAAAGGCAGTGGAGCGAATGCCTGGGTTGTGATGTTACCGTGGTAATGAGCTGGTTGCTGATAACAGGAAAGGAGCAAAGGGGAGGCTGGGCATTACAGGCCCGTCAGCCAGGCAGCTTCACCAGGTCACTGTCCCCAGGGAACAGCTGTTCATTCCTTGCAGGTCACTGGGGGGAGGGGTCCGAGGAAGGAGGGCATGGAGGTATATGCAGCGAAGTCAGGGTGAGGTAGGGAAGGGGCCTGTCAATCAAACTTGGGAAGAGAGGTTGTTGCTAGAAGGGGTGGGGCGCCTGCAGAGTGTGAAATCGAAGGTTAAAATCCCCCCAACAGGTGAGGACATAGAGAAGTCCCCACCGATAATATCAGTGGCAAAGGGCTGAGTAGCAGGAGCACAAGCTACTATTTCATTAATAAATTATCTTAAACTAATCTCCGACCTCGTTAGTGGCCCGAGACCTAAGTTGAATCAAGCGTGTTTGTAGGAGGAGTCGAGCGTGTTTGTAATAGGAATTAAGCGTGTTTGTACGGCATGAGTTGCACTTGCTGCCTCTCGCATGCACTGTGCATGGCAGTGCTGTGCATGGCCCGAGGGCATTGTACTGCCTCTCGTCTGGGTGAGCCCGATCAGCTCCGGGTGTCAGGGGCCTCCAGCGGTCCTTGCCTGTCCCCGAGCCCTTAGTCTGGGCCCCTCTGGAACGAGAGACATCGCTCTGCTTCGCGATTGTTTTATGTGGTGTCTGAGGCTGGACAGACAGGGAGCCTGGTGTGAGGCTGGTCCGTAGGCCATGTGCGCCTGTAAATATCTGATATAATAAAAGCCTAATATGCAAATCGACTGACCGGCGGAACGACCGGTCGCTATGACACACACTGACCGCCAGGGGGCAGACGCTCAATGCAGGAACTGCCCTCAGCCCGCAGGCCCCAGGCCAGCCAAGGCGGGTGTCAGTGGGGGCCCCCAATCACCCCACCGGTCGCCCCACAGATCGGCCCTGATCGCCGGCCAGGCCTCGGGACCCTACCCATGCACGAATTTCATGCACCGGGCCTCTAGTTGTATACAGGAGTGTCTTTGTTGGTTGTTTCTTTGTGATCTGTCGTTTGGTTTAATTTCTTTAAGGAAGGGGCACTTCCTGCGTTGCTGGGGGCCCGGCTGCTTGTGGCAGGCTGACCCGTGGCAGGGAGTGCAGGAACTTCAAGGCACCAGTCACCGGGAACTCTTTGCTAGGGAGGGTCCCTGTCTGTCTGTGATGTAACTTTGGTTGCTGCTGTTCTTTGCTTTCTTTCTATCTTTTGGGGCTTAGCTTGCTCCTCGCTGTTTAGGAACGTGGGGAATCCTCTGTCTCTGCGATGTGGGCTGTGTGCTGGGTTCGTGAGATACGATTCTCAGGCCAATGTCCCAGTCCACCCTTCGAGAGCACTCACTTGTTTACTGTGGGCATTTTCATTTGTTTGTTTCTGCTTTTAAGCTCTCTTCTGATACGCAAGATTTCATGTCATTGCAGTCTACTCAGAAAGAAAAATATAGGAAATAAAACCTTCTAAGGCCCCCAAGTCTTTTTCTAGGAGGACCAGCTCTGCAGAGGTGCCCTCCAGCAGGCTGCAGAACAGCGGTGGGGGCGGGGGCACTCCCATCTCGTAAAGAAAAATAAAATAAGGTAGTACTTTCCCATTAAAGCCACTGGAGGCCGGTGAGTTATTCCTGTTACAAAACTTGCCAAGAAAATGCCTTGGGTAATAATAATCGGCTTTAAAATCTCCAAGTTGTTCCGACATAATAAATAGATGTAACTAAAATGAAGGATTTATGATAAAGCTTTTCAGTGATAATTACATGTGCCTGTACATAATTTCCCAAAGTCCTTGGCAACGTAAAGCCCTTTTTGTTGAGCCGGTAATGGTTGGCTCCCTTCACGTAGAAGCAACCCAGCTGGCCTGTGACCTGGTAAACGCCCCGAACGCCACCTCCAGGGCTGCACATGGGATAAGTCAGGAGCTGAGCCAGGCCAGGGCGGCAGGGAGAGGGTCGGGCAGCCACAGATCGTTTGCTTTTGCAGCATAACCACGGTGGTGAGGAATTCAAAGGAACGTGCCCTTTTAATCTTTTGGACAATTCTCAATTAATAGAAAACAACATTCAACAAATTAGGTAAAACAATGAGAAGGGTTTTTTGGATTTGACTTGTCCAGCCCATCTGGGTTGCGGGAATTCTTTTTACTTTTTCTCCTGTTTATTTTCTGTAGCCTGACAGCTCGCTGCTGTATTCAACGTCTTCCTCTTTCTAGATCCTATATTTGCTGTATTCCATCCCCAAGAACTGCTTTCAGGGCAGAAGCAAATGGAGTCCAACAGGCTGATATTTTTCTTCTAAAACTAACCTCATAGACAGGAGAGGATAAAATCGGCAGTGGGGAGACGACAGGGGCAGGAATAGAATATTGGGGACCAGCTCTGATGATAAGAAATAGTAGTCATGCGCTTTTAACTGTGATTGTTTTCTTCTGCCCGGCCGGCGTGGCTCAGTGGTTGAGCATTGACCTGTGAACCAGGAGGTCACGGTTCCATTCCCGGTCAGGGCACATGCCTGGGTGATAGGCTCCATCCCCAGTGCAGGGCGTGCAGGCAGCAGCTGATCAATGATTCTCTCATCCTTGATGTTTTTCTCTCTCTCTCCCTCTCCCTTCCTCTCTCTGAAATCAATACAAATATATATTTTAAAAAACTTTTTAAACATTGACCTGTGAACCAGGAGGTCACGGTTCCATTCCCGGTCAGGGCACATGCCTGGGTGATAGGCTCCATCCCCAGTGCAGGGCGTGCAGGCAGCAGCTGATCAATGATTCTCTCATCCTTGATGTTTTTCTCTCTCTCTCCCTCTCCCTTCCTCTCTCTGAAATCAATACAAATATATATTTTAAAAAACTTTTTAAAAAAAGAAGGCACATTCTAACCTGGCTGGGAGTTGTATGGGACCTGGGAGCTCACCTGGAAGTGCAGCCCATCCTCCCCACCAGGGAGCTGCCTGTTATCATGGAAAGATTAACAACCTGTTGCAGAGACCAGAGCTGCCAGCCCACTGAAGACCCCAGCCCTTTGCATATCAGGAGCCTTTGAAGACCCCAGCCTTTGCACACCCACAGGCCATTGCAAATCCCCAGCCCTTTGCACACCCACAGGCCATTGCAAACCCCCAGCCCTTTGCACACCCACAGGCCATTGCAAATCTCCAGCCCTTTGCACACCCACAGACCATTGCAAACCCCCTGCCCTCATTACCTGTAATCTGCCCATTTGCCCTTCTGCCTACTTCCCTAGTAACCTTTGTCCTTCTCCCCATGTCAGCAGCTGGCTTATGGGGGGCAGAGCACATGTGGGGGGGACCTGCTGCTCTCCCGCCGCTGGCAGGACGGAATGAACGCTCATACAGGAGCCAGCCCTGTGGCTGCTGAATCGGCTCCGGTAGCGACAGGCAGCCGGACCCCTGGGTTGTCGGTTACAGGGCGGGGCCGGGCTGCAGGGGGGTGGCCGGGCAGCTGGCGGTTTCCTGGGCGGGACACTCACCTCCAGTCAAACAGCTGTGAGTGGCTGTGCCCTGGCCTGTGGCCCCTGGGCCGTTGTATGCGGCGTCATCCTACACGTGACGTTGTTGGCTTTCAAAGGAACTCAGGGAAGATGATGTTCCCGCCAGGGAGGTAATATACAATGTTCCAGTCATTAATGAGGACGCGTCCCAGGTAGTATAGTTCCCCCGAGGAAAATAATATGCTTTTATTCTTTAATGCGTTCCTTGCTGTTCTACACCAGGAGCATATGTCACAGCTTTAAAAGGCCAGACTAGACAAAGCTCATAAATTCTCACCTGTCCTCAGTAGTTACAGCAACACAAAGGGAAGGTGTGGAGGGTACTCCTGGACTCTTCTCTGATTTATGAATCCATAACTTTCCCTTCGTGGCCCTGAATCTCATCGTACACACAGACGCTGTCTCAGTATCCGCCGAGTCAGACGCTGACGTACTGCGAAGCCCTCAGGCCTTGGCCCTTAGCCCACAGCTCCTGCATCCAGGCCTCAGGCACGTCCCCCCCACACTCGGCCTTGGCCCCCCACTCCCGCTCAGAGGGGCAACGAGAAGAGGCTGTCTCCCCCGCTCGCCGAGCCTCCCTGTCCCCCGGGTCCCAGTTTCCAGGAGAAAAGCGCCCCCACAGGCCTCTGGTGGTGGCTGGCTTGGCTTGGGGTCCCGTGAAACTCTCACGGCTACTCCGACCCCTTCTCTCTTTCATGCCCAAAGCAGAGGCTCAGTGTCCTCCCCGTCTCCTCCCGGCGGGAGTCACTCGTGCTGCTTAAATGGGAGGCCCCCTCGTGTCTGTGGCCACACTCCTCAGTTCTTGCTCACGTGTTGCTGCTCGCTT